CAGGCGAGGCAGGAGAGGTCTGCTACGCCATGTCGGTTGCTCCCTGGCTAGGGATGGAACTCATGTTGCAGAGGCCACAGATTGCTTCATAGTGCTGTGTCTTAACCCCTTGCACCACCAGGGAGGCCCCCCGGTTCTACATCATTCAGTTCACTCCTACCTGCTCTGAAATTTTACTCAGTTACTTCGGTATTAACATGCTTCCTTCTTATTATCCTAAAACTTTTTTCCTGATAGTTTTAGGGATGTGCTTTTCCTAACAGCAAATTATGATAGAGGCTGCCGTTGGTTTACACTATCTGCTGCGGATCTATCCAAAATACACTTATTTAAATACTGTCTGGTTGATAGCTTCAGCCGTTCTGTGCTAGAAAAAACTGTGGGTGTGTGGCATGGAGAGATGAGGTGGCAAACCAATCCTACCTGTTACAGAGATTAGTTCTGACTCCATCTATGCTCAAAAATGCAAGTCCCACAACAACAGGACAATAAAAAAGGTTTTCTGCAGGGCAACACACGTTTTTTGTTACTTTAAAACTAAAATGACTCTGGATGCTCTGTTTGTAAACTAGACCCAATAAAACAGGAACAGAGAATATCCAAAGCAGGAATTCCCAACATTCTTTAACAATGCAGCAGAGTGTACAGCATTCTATGGAAGGTTCAGCAACATCTTCCCTACTCTCCTGAAACTGTTGCTTGGCATACATTTTTTAAGGAAACCAGTATTACTATCATATTTAATCTGCTTTAAATAGACTTCTCTTAGATTCATATAAACCAGAGAGTGGATCTCATTTAGCATGCAGGTGACTGAAAAATGGATTAAGAACAGGCAAGATCAAATAAGAGATACAACTATGAGATCAAATAAGAGATACAACTGATTTTCCCATCTCGATTCTGATTTCACTTCATTGTGCAGTGGCTATACCTTTATTTTGTCCAGTAGCATGGCTGTCCCAATGTTGAGGAAGTCAACAGGACAGTATTTTACAAAAATGCTTTCCCAAGTTACTTTTCTAGAAAACATCTGCTCTATTCATGATGGGCACATGCAGTGTTCCAAAAAATACACACAGCTTCCTAAAGATACCTGAAGGCAATCCAGGATGTTACAAACGACACAACTGCAAAGCATTTAGCCTAATGAATAGGAAGGAAAGAAACAGCTAGCAATGCCTTAGATGCTAAGGAAGATATTTTACTTATTCCTATACTGAGAATTAAGGCCAGCAGTAACTCCTAAATTAACATCCTCTAACAATGTAAGCGTTATTTGCCTCCTGTCACAAATGCTATAGAACAATCCACACTGAAAAAGTAACAGACAAAAACTCTGAAGACAATAAGTGAATTTTAAGTGGTATGTAATACTGAACTGTGCATTTAAAATTGGTTAAAATGGTAAATTTTGTGTTATGTATAATTTACCATAATTTGAAAAAATCATCACATTGGTTTCCCCTGTAAAAACAGATATAAGTCTATTAGACTACATTAAATGATAAGAGACCAGAAAGTTGAATGTGTTTAAATTATAAATGGTTGGAAAAGTTTAGTGATTTAATAGAAGCTTCCTGAGCTTAGAAGGTTTATATTTATTAGATAGTCTCCATCTCCATGGGCATAAGCAAATGGGGGGGGAAAAAAGGCTTAAATTATAGTAAGAGATTTAGTTTTGACATAATTCTAACTAGAAAAGTAATTAAACACTATAATAATAAGATATCATGCAAATCTTTGCCCTTAGGGATCTACGGATAAGCAATCTTGGAGGTAGTATATGTAATTCTGCAGGAAAAACTGGAATGAACTAGAGAATCTCTTAAGGCAGCTTCTCGTTTTTAGAATTCTAAGTTCATTATTTACCAATAATGTCACTGCAGAACATCCCACCTATAGAAAGTTAAATTAGCCTACACTCCAATCTGGCTTCAGATACAGGGCAGTTTTAGCACAACTTTTATTTACTTAATGTACTCAGTAACTGAAAATTGACTTCTTTAGGTAAAAAGCAGTCTCACCCGTCTCCAGAAGCATGGCTACCAGCTCAGGTATAAAACTACAAAACTGCTCAAACTGAGACATTTGGTTCTAAATTAAACAAATAGGAACATCTACAGACTGCACACCCAAAATAAGGGAAAAAAGTCTGTATCAAGAGTATAGATCACTTACAAGGCCAAAATGTCCAATTTTTTCCCAGTTTCTTAGAAAGTTGTTTGTTTCAACAAAAAAAAAACTTACTTTTGAAAACAAAGGCATAGTTTTACCAATTCAAATTTCATTTTAAAAGACGCATGGCCTTCATTTTAAAATAATGATTATTAATTTACGAGACTAATAATAATGATTATTAATTTACCACATTATTTTTTAACAGTCATTGACAACTGAGTGGTGGTTATTTATTACCATTCAAAGCAGGCACTTATGAAATCACAGGAAGGTTAATCACCTCAAATTCAACAGGTTAACCGCAACAATTTGAGAGCTCTTTTATCAACCTGTATCAGGACTATCTGAAAAGTCTCCTAAGTCAGACATTAAATGACACTTTAAAATTAACAAGAAGAATTAACCCAGGTCAATAGAGGAATCAAAACACAGTATTGGATAATGAAGTTAACTGCCTTCATTAGGAAGAAAAGACTATCAATCCTGATCCTTGTTCAGTTCACAAATGATTTTCATTTTATAACCAAAGAAAACAAAGGACATAACTTCTACAGTGAAAACATAAGGTAAGTGGCTGAAAGCTAAGTTAACACTTACCTGCCTACATTGCTAAGAAGCTACTGACTTCCAGTTGCTCTAAAACTACAAAGCATTTTTTAATGGCTCACTGCTCTGCTCAGAAATGCATCACACCTTGTTTTATATACAGATAACATGTCAGAATACAAGCTACTCTGTGACTTTGAGGTAACTGTATTTTTATTAAAAATTTTATAATGCAGCTGTAATTTTTAGGGTTTTTTTTTTTTTTCCCTTATCCACATTGGGCCTCACCTTTCACAACATATAAAAACAAACATTCTCAGATGTTGAACACACATATCAAGCATATAAAATTCATGACACTGGTTTTGCAGCCATAATAATTGTACTAATAAATACTGGCTGTAAAGAACTAAAAACTTATTAGGGCAGGGTTTAAATGGTACCCCTCACAAGGGGGTGGGAAGAAATAATGATCCTCTCCGACCAAACTGGCAGCAACAATATGCCAAGTTTCCTTTGCTGAACTAGTGTAAACAAGGAAGAAAAAGAGCTGGGGGTGGGAAACAAGCTGACAAAAGAACAACCCCCATGATACAACTTAACTTCTAAATTTCACCAGTGTAATACCTCTTCTCCTCGTTGTCAATAATCCCTGCTGTTCTCTCGTTAAACACCCTAGGTTGGTGTTCAGAAAACTGTAGACTGTAGTGCCTGTCTGAGACTATCCTGGACATGAAAGACACAAATGGGAATCACAACTGCTTCTTTAGTTCTAAAGACTATCCTCTGCATTCAAAACCTCAAAGAGTTTTCTAAACATCTAGAAATTCAATCCCATTCTTCCTATAACAATGAACTTTAAAGATAAAATAATAGGATTCACCACTGATGCTACAAAGGAAAAAAAAAAAAAATCACACATCACCTTTGGTGCTTCCACTAATGGGAATTACTAGGCTCCCACTCGTGAGATGAGCATCATTCAGTATAGGGTTAAATGAAGAATGGGAAAAAGACTAGGCTTACAGTCCCTTTTTCTGGCATTGCCTGAAGCATTCAGTGGACATGGAATAAAAAGGAGCCTGGTTGTACAAGTGATGCCAAGAGAAACAAGATTCCACATGTCTGAGAACTAAGTGCCCAAGGTAGAGAGCAAAGGGCACTCATTCCATGACTTTTTGACCATAGGAAGATGAGCTGCTTCACCTAAAACTCCTTCAAAGTCAGTCTAATGGTCTCCAATTTATCGCTCACCCTGAGTGAACTCCACAACCCCATCTCTCACAATCAGGAAAGTGCTGCTTATCAAAAACAGCAAGTGCTACATCCAAAGCCAAGAAACACTTCTTCAGAGTAAGTGCCATGGTCTTCTGCCCCAATTCAGTCTTCTACAAAGAGATTCCAAGCCAAAAATACTTGGTTCCCAGCCTAAGTCAAGTTCTCCATTTTCCCAAACATCTACCAACCCAGCTCTCCTTCAGTATGGTCCCTGTTCATTCGGGCATTCTGGGGCCCAGGGGTCCAGCGCCCTCAGAAAGTCCCCTCTCCCGAGATAGTTTCCTTTCCTCGCCTTAGCCAGACCCTGCCCCAGGTCTAAGGCCCCGGGCCCTCCATCGTAAACCGACTCTTAGATCCTACTCTTCGCAGGCACAACTCTCAGGAAAGTCATCTCTCCTACCGTACTCGCGTATCCTCCCCCAGAGTACTCTTCCTCGTCCCTCGCTGTCCTCGATGGAGACTCACTCACTCTCACACACACACACGCACGCACACAAACACACACACACACACGCACATATAAATTATGTGTTTCCAGCTCCTAACTCCGAAGTCTCCCCACGCCCCGGGGTGTCCCCAGCACCAACTCTCTGCCGGAGAGTCGCCCCTCACCCCGGCCGTGCCCCGTCCTGACCTCCGCACTCCGAGCGCCCCCTCTCCCCAAACCCCGGCTGCCCGCGCCCGTCCCTCCCCCGGCAGCGCCGCCTCCCTCCCCGGGCCGGCCCCGGCCCCGGCGCCCAAGTCCTCACCCCTCGTCCCGCGCACCCCGGCCCGATTCTCCTCAGACCCCCGGGAGCCCGTCCAGGCTCCCTCACGCCCCTCGCGCCTTCAGGGGCCCCCCAACTCTCCTCCTGGTTCTCTCGCCCTGCTCGGCGGCCGACCGTCCCCCGCGGACCCGGGGCGCCCCGCGCCCCCCCGCCCGCGCCGCCCCCCCCGCCGCCCCCCCCGTCCCCCCGCGCCGGGCCCGAGGCGGCGGCCGGCGCGGCGGGGCTCACCAGTTGGTCATGTCCAGGAAGAAGGCGCAGCCGGCCGGGTTGAGCTGGAAGCCGAGCAGCCGCTGGAACTCGGAGATGAGCACGTCCTTGTCGGTGGTGCCCAGGCAGCTGAACTTCTGCATCAGCTCGGGGTCCAGGTCCACGTCCATGCCCTCCATGGCCGCGCCGGACGCCCGCCCGCTCCTCGCGCCGCGCCGCGCCGCGCCGCCGGCCCCGGCACCGGGAAGGGGGCCCGCCGCCGCCGGCGCCGCCCGCTCCTCTGAGGTAGGCCCCGGGCCTCTCACCGCCTCATGGGGGAAAACTCACTCAGGCGCTCACTCGCGTCGCGCGCCCCCCCCTCCCACCCCCCCCAGCGCCGCCGCCTCCGCCGCCGCCGCCGCCGCCACTGGCTCCGCCGCCGCCTCCGCCTCCTCCCGCGCCGCGCCCACTGCGCAAGCGTCGCCCTCCGAGGCCCCGCCCCTTCCTCTCCGGGAGGCCCGCCCCTTCGTGGCGTCACAACCCCGTGACGTCCCCCGCGTGACCTCACCCTGGTGGAGGGAGGGGGTGGGAAGAGAAAAGAGGAAAGGGACGGCCGGCGGGGGCCTCCAGCCGCGACCTTTCTCTTGGCTCCGCCCCTGCCCTCAAGGGGAGGAGCTAAGCCCGGGGGTGGGGGAGAAGCTCGCGAGCCTCCTCTGTGGCAGCGCCACCATTTTGCAGGTGAGGAAAGTGGATTCCGGTAGGAGCTGCCATCAGTTGCAAGGTCATGTACCAAAGGGCCTTCAAAACCCAGTCCTCCCAGGGAGGGGTTTGCCTCGAGCTGAGGAGACTTGTTTCCGTAAGTTTCCAGGTCTTCCCTCCCCGAGGAGACAGCCATGAATCTTTGATTCCCGGTCACCCTCTGTGATTACAACACTTGTTTCTGTTATGTAATGGTAGTGGTCTCTGGCAAGTAAAGGACACCTCGATACAAATGTCAATCGCAGGTCCAGACAAATGCCACACGTAGTTTTCCGACCACTCCTTCAAGACCAGTCCTTTCAAACTAGAATTAAATCACGAGAATCTGGCATATCTTGTTTTGTATTTAAGATAGAAGGCAAAGATAGAAGCTACTACATATAGTAGCTACCTGGTCAAGGCCCATTCAATATCAAAAAATGAAAAAGGAATCAGAGACCATTTTGTCTCCCTCTTGCACTCCTTTAAGCGAGTGCTTTTTAAACATTACTATTTACCCGACACTGTCACATACACGGGAGAAAGTGAGTTAAATGCGGCTTAAATAACTATTTTACCTGCAAGAAAAGTAAAATCCAGTGCATTTATACACCTTATCCAAAAATACAGAGCTGCCAAGCTAGAACCCAGCCTTCAGATTCCTAATGGAGCACATTCAGTAACCATTTCAATAGTAGACAGGATTAAAATAAGTGACCTGTAGTGTCTGGGATTAAGACACTACCAAATTGGGGCCTCCCTGGTGGAGCAAGGGGTTAAGACACAACCTATGAAGCAGGAGTTAGATCCACAGCCAAGGAGCTACCCACATGGCGCAGCAGACCTCTCCTGTCTCGCCCACTACTCCCCTCAGCAGTGTATTTCAGTCAATCCATCTGTTCTATTCCCCACTCTGTCTCTGGTAAATCCTCTCTCTCACACACACACACACACACACACACACCATGCCTCTGGCCTGTACCCCAGTTCTTGTATGTATAAATAAATAAATCTTTTTTTTAAAAAAAAACGGAACTACCAAATTGAGAGTTAGGAACACATGACTTGAAAAGCCTGGGTTCTGGCATCCTACACATTTGGGATTCAAATTATCATTTTGTCAATTATTTGTAATCACAGTGCCTGCCCAGATAGGATTATTGTGATAATTAAATGAAGTAACAATAAATAAACAGTACAGTGCCTGTTCCATAAGAGGTGCTCAAGAAGTGGTAGCTAGTATTGTGGCCCTGATGGCTATGGGATTAGACAGTAATACAAGTAGGTCTGGATTGCTTCTTCACCAGGCTCCTCTTCTATTTCATTTCCCTTGCTGGTCCTCTGTTAAAATATGAACTATGGGGCCTCCCCGGGGACAGAAGGGGTTAAGACCAACCTCTGAAGCGATCTGCAGCCACTGTAGCGCAAGTTCAATCCCTGGCCAGGGAGCTACTCACATGGCACAACAGACCTCTCCTCTCATCCCGCTGCTCCCCTCAGCAGTGTATTTCAGTCCATCTGCCTGTTCTGTTTCCTACTTTGTCTCTTCCTCTCGCCCCTCCCACACCTTTGCCCTGAAATCCAGTTCTTGTATGCATAAATAAAATCTTTAAAAAATAAAATAGGAACTATATATCCTTTCTCTCTCCAGTGATATTTTCCCCCTCCAATATGAATATCTTATGGGAAACATACTTTTAACAGCATACAGTAATAATCCTTAGAAACTCACATTATCCAGTAGTTATAAACATTTTATACAAAACTCTTCTTGAGCTTCTAAGAACTGTGTGGAAGCTTAAGTCACTGTCAGGGCCTAATTTAATATTTCACCAATATTAAGGAAAATCCAGTCTTCTGAGAGGTGAGCACATATAGTCCCAAATGAATGGAGACACAGAAAGATTATGAAAGCCCCAGGATTAAAGGTAGATGAGACTATTTAGTCCAGCCCCCTCCGTTTTACCAATGAAGAAACTGAAACCAAGAGAGACAATGAGTCATCTAAGATAGAGCTAGTAAGGAGTCTCTAAACTCCCAGTCTAGCTTTCAATCCACTTATCCTGCTATATTTCCTTTTATACTTTGAAGTCAGTTTGACCTTACATACAAATAATTAGGAATGTTGATCCAATGACTGATTTGATAATATACTATATACTTTCTAGAAACTATTAACTTATAATATCATGGATTAAAATTGTGTTGACCAAAGAGCCAAAAGAAGAAAATGTTATTGGAAACTGATGATGCCATTAGACTGCTGATCCAAGGGAAACTAAAAACTCTTGGCCAACCCCAGGTAACTAGGGTCTTGGCTCACATCTATACAGCCTAAATAATGCAAAGAGATTTTTGAAAAAATGACCAGGGCCTCCCTGGTGGTGCAAGGGGTTAAGTCTCAGCACTATGAAGCTATCCACAGCCGTTGCAGCACAAGTTCGATCCCGGCCAGGGAGCTACCCACATGGCGCAGCAGACCTCTCCTGTCCCGCCCACTGCTCCCCTCAGCAGTGTATTTCAGTCAATCCACCTGTCTGGTCCCCATTCCGTCTCTGGTGAATCCTCTCACCGCACCCCCCCCCCACCTCTGGCCTGCATCCCAGCTCTTGTATGCATAAATAAATAAAATAAATCTTTAAAGAAAAAAAAAAAAGAAGAGGACTAAATGACTCAATTTCAGTTCATAGTAGGAGTTATCACAAAGGAGTGCACCTGCTCCTCAAGTAAATTCTGAAACTATTGGGGACATTTTTGGTTCTCATGAGATTGCAGGTGGTAAACTGGCCATTAATTCCCTGAAGACAAGGCATATTAAACATCTGCAATTCTTGGTACAAGGGTTCTTGCACAATAAAGAACTGACCCATCCCTATCCACTATACAAAAGCACTGACCAAATGACTGGCAAATTAGATATGAAGAAAGAACCAATTTCCCACCTACACAATACACCCCAATAGAATGGTTTTCTTGTGGGGATGAGTAATGAAATGGAGGAAGTGAGGTGTTACCCAATCAAAAGACTCTTAGAAATGTGATTTTTCCATTTGAGTCTGGGGGGTAATTAACACTGGCTATGGTTCTGACCCAATGGGTCTGTAGCTTTGTTTTCTTTTGCTTTGCTTTGATTTCAAAAAGGCCTGGAGAAAAAATAGTTGAGAAATAAAGGACAAGTTGCTGAGCACCACTCCCAAGGAAGGAAAGCTTACAGCAGTTTTTCAAAAGGACTTCTAGGTATCATCTCAGAATTACATCAGGGGTTATGCTTGGAGCTGCTACTGCTTGGAATATACCTGATACCAATTTCTTGGGCTGGTGATTTTTATACGAAATTGAAGCTAATCCCCAAGCCCCAGGCCAGATCATTTTCAGAGTTTCTTAAGGGAGTTAAGCCATTCTATCATTCAAAAGTTGAGAATCTAGAAGAAAAGTGATTGGAACAGGAGAAATCTAGAGGACTTGAGGTTACCAAGTTGGTAGGCCCTCACCCAATCACTTAAAGCTGCAGGACACACTCAAAAGCAGGCACATGGGAAGAAACAACAATAACATGATTTATTTACACAGGGAGTGAGAAAAAGGAGAAAGAGAAATTACTGGCCAGCACATGCTGTCTGTCCTACCCCAGATAACGTCTGCTGAGCAGAGACCAGGGTCCAAGCCAAAGCCACATGTGGCAAGCTGGCAGCTTCTCCATGGACATCCCTCTCACCAGCAGTTTAACTGCCAAAGTGCCAGCCCCACCCCTATTTCCCATCAACCCCACAGGACATCAGGAGGTAGAATCTAGAAAGCCCTGCCTTCTACTATCCAGTTGGTCATGAACTCACCCACTGACTGGGAGAGAGCTCCTCACCGTTACTCTTAGGAAACTCTAGGGAAACCTAGATTACCTCCAGGTGATCAAAATTCAGAATTGCCACAGTTAGCTAATATTAAGATTATGGTACAACATAACTGATACAGAGAATAAATAAACGTTTTTTTTAAATATTTATTTATTTATGCATACAGGCCAGAAGTGCAGGGGGTAAGAGGATTCAGAGACAGAGAGAGAGAGACAGAGTAGGGAGCAGAACAGGCAGATTGACTGAAATACACTGCTGAGGGGAGCAGCGGGCGAGACAGGAGAGGTCTGCTCACCATGTCGGTTACCTCCCTGGCCTGGGATCTAACTTGTGCTGCAGTAGTTGCTGATAGCTTCATAGTGCTGATGCTTAAACCCTTATGCCACTGGGGAAGCCCAAGAATAAATAGACATTAGGGTACATTATTTGTTAATAACAACTTGAAGAAACCTTTTGGTTTCCAACCACAATGACATCCTTTCTCTATGAAACATTATACCCAAGTCTTTCTCTGTAAAACAGTAACAAGTGTCTAGGTAAATATGGCTTCTAGCAGCCATATTTACACCACATTATCCTGTCTTTTAGCCCCCACTGATTAGACAAGAGATAAGATCCGCCAGTCAGACGTAGGAATTTTA